CTGAAATACTCCTTACATATTCACATTGGGTCATCCCCTCAACACACTCACCCTGATTCTCTGACAACCAATTTGTGTTTCTTTCCTCCCCGCTTCCCTGACATTTGATAGAACCAGGGAGGCTGTTCCTACCTCAGAGAGATGTTCACTGCCTGATAATGTATATGAGGAATAGATCATTTACTTACGCTCAAAGCAGATGGACTTTATAAGGAGTACTCTATAACGCAGAAATGGTTGGGAAGAATAAATCAAATCTTTCTGTGTACTTGTGGGAAAAGGAATTATTTAAATGTAGCCTCCAGCTTCAGGTGCTTTTACGGAACATGCAATCCTACATGCTGACCACCAGGGGGAGCGCTAGGCCTATCTCTACACAGGTTCTAATTTTAGAGACGGATAGGATGCTTGCCTCGAGGGAGTGGGGGACCCAAAGAAATAAGACTATAATACTTTTTTTAAAAAATCGGACCAACTTATAAATTATTTGCGAGTCCAATAAAAGGCAATTATCAACATTTCTTACTATTTCACGAGTAATATATTCTATGTTAGAAAAAGATTCAATTTATTCCTTGGCTGTGATTCAGATGACAGAAAACTGGAGGCAACTGCAACCAAAAGACGACTGCTCTCCTGTGTAAATCTCGATGCTTAGGAGAGTGCTTGCCATAACAGAAGAATTGTCTTCAAGGTTCCCGTCTTTTCTTCCCAGCCGCTTGGGCAAGCCATGCTCTTTCTAAGTAGAGGGGTATGGTGTAATAGGATATGTGTGAACAAAACCCAGTCTGTACCATTCTGGGTTCACAGCAATCCACACAGATTACAAGCTGTAATCTGAAGAACTTGGAGGTGAGACGCATTGGGCATGATTTGTAAGCACGATGCAAATTTCTGGAACTCTAGGGGTCAAGGTAGAGGTCTAGAATCCAGGAAAAGTGGATAGTTCTACAAGGAAGGACCCAGCACAAGGTTTGCTGTGAAGCTGCCAGATGGAACAGCACTGGTCTCTTAAGTAAGATGGGTTTGGCCAATCAGCTCTGCCTGCCCTTAGTTCTGTGTGTGTGATCACTGTGTGTTGAGCCGATCATGTTCAACCCTCAGACCTCACAATCATCTCTGAAGCTCATTCTCAGCTCCCTCCCTTACCTCTCCACCTTCCTCAGCCTTTCTCTATGCTGAGTCTCAGAGAACCGTGGTCTGGATGGTGCTGTCAGGGTCTCGTTGGGAAGCTCTGGTGTGAGGTCCTAAGGGGAGATAAGGCGGTCACAGCATCTCTTGTGCCTCCTCCCTCTGTGCTGTGGATCAGACAGTACCTGTGTCTCCTTGCACTTCCTCGTGTCATGGCTTTGGGGTGGGTCAGAAACTCCTCTGGTGGTAATGGCCCCGGTCATGACCCCATCTCACCGATTTCCTCAACCCTGACCACACCTCCCATAAGGTCCTCTTCTTAACCATTCTCCTTTTGATTCTTGTGCATCAACTATTTTCCACCATGGCCCAACTTTCACAATACCTCCTTGTACATACTTATAAACTGTCTTGTTTTTAAAGGGAACTTGCAATTTGTTAGCAATATATTAAGAGGAAATCTTGTGAGTTATAGTAATGAGAAAGGCACAACCTGGAAGTAATGGTAAAACTAAGACAGGTGACTGTCAGCAAGACTCAAATGGAGCCCCTTGTTTTCACAATGCCCAGATAAAGCATAGCATCAATTCAGTTCAGAGTCCATAAAGTACAACCAACCCAATTACCATGCACACATTCACCCGAGTGTAGCCGGGAGCTTTGGCAGCGTCTCTTTGTCCTAATGAAGGGTCTTATGTAGATGGTGCCAGGAAGAAGAGGCACACCGGAGGGGACTGCTGTGCAGATGCTCTTGGCAAAAGGGACATATGGTGCTCCTGGGCATCCTAGAATAGTATCCCATGTAGCCAGACCTCCCATCAGAGCAACTGCATGCATCGAGTCTAGCAGGATCAGCTAATGCTCGCTGTACCTGCACCCAGCGCTTGTGACTGGCATAGCCCACCAGCAGCTTCTTATTGGCACCTCTCTGCCTCTTTTTCTGCCAACAATCAGCTTCCTTCAATGCCTTCAGTCTCCTCAGTGCTCCAGTTACTCGGGTTTCCACTTTGTCGTGGTTTTGTTTGCATACAACACAGGTTATTGAGGGCTTTCATTCTGCCTACAGGCCATTTTCTGAACAGCCAATGTCCAGTCTGCAGCTAACAACTGGATTCTCCGTGGGCCCTCAGAGTGCACTATGACTAGCCACCTGTCTTGGGGCAGAACTGACCTTGTGTGGCTACGTGATGACAGCCTTTGGTAAGGTTCCTACCCTCATGCGACTGAAAGAATAATAGGATGGAAGTGCTACCTGCTCCTCATGGTGGCTGCGGGGCTGTGGTGTGAGCAGGGAGTTTCCTTTGGCGAAGGAACACTGACCCACGTGGACTATAGACTTGGACTCGGGAAACATGGAGTTATTCTTTCCATAAAGATGGCTGCATGGCTGAAAGCCCATGCTGATTTTGTTTGACTGGGGTTTCCTAGAAGTCTCTCCATGGCTCCATTCTCTGTAAAGGGCAGTCTACTCCAGCCTTGATAGCAGGAGCCAGGCACGCATGGGGGCCGGGAGGTGGATATGGCATAGCCCCAAGCAGTAGGAGTTTGAGTTTGGTGAAACTGCTCATCCCCAAGCACAGCAGAAATGGCACTGGGGTCTGCAGAGCAAATGCTGGGGAGGAGAAATGCTGTCTCTGTGGCTCAGCACAGCACCCGGTACTAAGCAAGGGCGTGGATGAGGTGAGCTATGCGTGGAGTTTGAAAGGAAACTGGCTGGCTACGGTTGGCAGTCTGGAGGGTGAACTCCTCTGGGGAGGACTTCCCTAGAGAGCTCAGCAAAGGTTCATGATGGCTGAAGTAAAGTTCTAATTCTGCCACATAGCCATGTATGCCCTAGGACAAATCTGACGACGGAACTCGTTTCTGCAGATATGAAATGTGAACAGTAAGGTCTGCCTTAAGGAGCTAGCTGTGGCATGGAATCATGATTGGGTGGTCGTTAAGTCCCAGCACTGATGGACTGACACCATTTTATGAGGACAATTGTTGGGGGCGGGGGTGAGCCGACCTGCTTTCTAGCATGTGCACTAGGATTTGGACTCCCAATAACTTGAGAGAAGAACAATCCTTCAAATCAGTCCTGGACACCTAAGTCACCCAGATGAGGTAGCCAGGTATCTCAGGAAGACAGGGCTGTGTTAGGCAAGCAGAGGCCAGGGCTACTTGTTTGTGCTTACTGCAGCTCAGCTGACTGTGGGTTGAATAATCTATTGCCAGGCCCAGATTTGAAAATAAATTTTTTAAAAAGGCAGCCATACAAGAACAGATAACAGCTCTCCCCAGGGGCACAGCAAGCTGGAAAGTGTTTCCTTGCGTGAAGGCAGGAGGATGGCTCAGTCCATCATAGCATAACCCTGCCTCTGAAATCCTGGAGGGGAGAGGGGAAACCCAGGCAACCTTGACCTCCTAGTCCAGTGTGCTGGCTCTTAAAACACCAGTCCCAAGCTTCTCTGTGAGCTTTTGTTCAGGTGAGGATGGAATTCTATCTATACCTGTACCTTCCAGGGAGGGCTGCTGAAGGCAGCTTAAGCCTAGCCTCTTTTGCCTGCTGGGGGAAGATGCTGTTCCCCTTCAACCTAAGGGGCCATCTCTCCAGCAGAAAGGAGGGAGCTCCTGTTCAGTTTTGCTGTTAGGCAAGGCTGAGGCAGAATTATCTTGCAAGAGCAATTGAAACCTACCTTGGCTGGAGTCAGTGAGGTTGTAAAATCACTTCCCTGAGGCACTCCAGCACCCAATTTGGAGATGAGTGGGGATTTACATGATTCAACGGAATGTTTCTTTCCTGTGTCAGGGCTCAGTCAGTCGTGAAGGGGAAATGTCTGAGCAAAGCTCAGCAGCTGTGTTGGAGCCTCATTCTCATCTGGATAGCTGAGCAGAGGCCAAAAGGGTCCAGGCTTTTGGGGAACGGTCCAAGGCAGGGTGCGGCAGCCCACTGTAACCCTCAGAGCTCTCTCTCCTGTTAAGGTCAGGTGGATGTGTGAAGAAAACTTCTCAGCCTAAACCCACCATGAAAAGGATACCCAATTTGCTGAAGATTTATTATGGGCTGTGTACTATGTTGCCACTTCCCTGACAACCCTTCCCCAGGTCTTCATTAAGACCTCTAAGAAGTAAGTCCTGTTACCCTCAGTACAGAGGAGGAAACCGAGGCTCAGAGTTGGAGGGAGGGTCACTCTGATGGCTCAGTCAGTGCCACCACACTCCCTGCAACAGTCTGGGATTTATACCAGATGAGTTCTTTTCCAAACACCTATCACTGAATCTGAGAAGGAAACGAGACAGTATGTTTGCTTTGCCCTTGAGGTCTCTATAGGACCTCACTAGATACAGGCTCATGGGGAGCTGAGGGCTGGAGAGAGATAGAGTCCACTACAATGTCTGGAGTGTAGAGGACAGAGTTAGGAGTTGATGCTCTTAGACTGAATTCAGATCTATGTCCATCCACTTGCTAGGCACAGAATTTATCCTTTCTGAGCCTCAGTTTCCCCATGTGCTCAAGAGTTTGTAACAAAAGCCATAGAAATAGTTGGTTGCCAGTGTAAAGGCAAGGTACAGGCTCCAGAAATTTCAAGATGGCCACTGCTTTTATTATTATAGAGTAGCTTGCCAAGCTACAACATTGTGCTTTAAGACAAGGCCCACCATTTATTTTGCTCACAAACCTTCAATTTGGTCAAGACCAGCAGTATCGTCTCATCCTATCTCTAGGTGGCTCCTCCGGGAATCCACTCACATGGCCAGCAAAGAGAGCTTGTTGTTTCCTTTCCATTGGGAACTATTGTGGCTCCCATATAATAACCCGGCTGGAATGGAAGACCAAGCATTCCCAAAGTCAGATGACAAAAGAAGTCAGTTTATTAAGCCTTGGGCCCCCTAGATGGAGGGAGCGGGCACTTTAGGGAGGAGTTTGAATGGGTTCAGCAACATGCTTTAAAAGTACCATGGTGGTCTGCCCTCTGACCACAGTTCGTTTTCATTTTTTTCCTCACACCTGCCATACTCCCCACTTCCCACAAAGCCTCACCCCAGTGTGGTGGTAGGCTCAGGTTCAAGGTGCAGGATCTTGCCATCAATCAGGCCAGGCTGCCAATGAGGGTCCTTGAGTGCAGTGTCTGAGACAAAGCTCTTTCTGGATCAGTAGTCCTGTGAACTACAAAGACAGGTCATTTGCATTCCCAGCCAATGACAGCAGACACACTCATGGGACAGCTGTGGAGTCTGGCTTGTCTGCAAGAGTCTGGGGCTGAGGGGAGACAGGGTTTTCTTGTGGGAGCCTAGCATGGATTTCATACTGAGTAGGAGTTTTGCCCTAGAAAATGGTTCTCATTCAAACCTCAACTCCATCCTTGAGTGTAGGGGACAGTGAGCATGTCACTCAGGACTCTGTTCCCTTCTCCTTAAGACAAAATAATAATTTTTACCCCATAGGACTTGTGATAGTTAAGTGAAGTGTTGTATTTGAAACTGTCCAACAAAGTGCAGGGTATGAATGATTTATGAATAGATTGAGCATAATGATGTTTATCTTGTGGGGTGACTACAAGACTCAAAATTCATGAAAGCGATCTGTGGGCTGTAAAGTTTGGGGAAAGAAAAATGTATATGTTTATATCTTTTATTATCACTGGCTGCTCCCTAATCCTGCCCCAGCACCAGCAAGGTTGGGACATCCTACCCTGGGGCTGAGGACAGTTTGTGTCTGTGGCATAGCCTATGGAAGAGAGCCACTAGCCAGGCTCCGACTCAGGGTCACCAGAATACACCTTTGTTACTCGTTTGCTTTGCTCTCAAGTTTCCAGATTTCATCCACAGGAGAGCACACTCAAATGTTATGGTGAACCTTTGCACATGTGTGCAGGTTGACGTCTACCTCACCACATGTGTGGGGGGCAGAGGGCAACCTTAGGTCTCTCCATGTTGTTTGACACAGCTTCTCTTGTGTCTCTTCTGATGAATATACAGAGTTAGCTAGCCCACAGCATTCTGGGAGTCTCCGGTCTCCTCGTTCCGTCTCCCTGCAGGAGAACTGGGGTTACTGATGCTGCTGCTAACATGTCCAGCCCTTATGTCAGTTCTGGTGATTCCAACTCATGTCCACATGTTTGCCAGACAGGCATTTTTACCTACTGAGCCTTTTCCCACCTAGGCAAGACTTCTGAAAAGGCTGTCAAAGTAGATGAAAGTTCAGAGAACAGGGTGGGGTATCACGTCTCCTGCTGAGACTGGATGGGACAGAATGGACAGAATGAACATGCTCAGTAGTGGGTAGACCAGAGTTCAAATCCAGATGCTGGCCCTTCTTGGCTCTGTGATATTAGAAACTCTTCTCTCCTGAGGAATGTGGTAAGTAACCACCCAACTGGTGCATAGTGCTCTCTTCAATGACACAGAGATGCGGTGACAGACAGACGTGGTTTTACAATGAGAGCACAATGCTCTCTCTCATCAGTCTGTTGTGAGGATGGAATGAGTTGCAGGCAGAGCACCTCTACAGATGTAGGCTTGGAGAAAGTGCAGAAAATCCAAGTTACTGCTGCTGCAATCAACGGCTTTAATTCTGGCAATAATACTGCTGATTCTACTCAACTAACAATCTTTGTTTCTGTAAGCTCAGAGACTCATAGGCTTAAATGATGTATACTGATATTTCTGGGAGCTTGTCTGCTGCAAGAACCAGGACGCACACAATATATGTTGGCACAAGCAAGGAGGTAGAACCTGAGCAGAGAGGAAGGCATACGGAGGCCTGCGCTGCTGACTGTGATTGTCAGTGGTCTAGATGAGAACGCATGGTGAAGTCTCAACAATGAAGACAGCGGTGACAGTTTTAGACAGTGAGAAATATGAACTGCTGCAGGTTTATTGCACACTTCAAGCTGGGTCTACAAACCAGACATGGTTTTATTTCCTTCCTGGACAGTGCTTCCAGCTAGGCTCCTCCATTAAATCAACTTTCAAGTTATCTGATTAGTAATGCCATGGCTCTTTGATCATGCTGAATAGTGAGGGTAGACTCAATTTTGTACTTTACTCTTTGTCTTAACCGTGTGACTCCATGATCCCCACCTACTATTGCTTGCTTGGCTATGCCAGCAAGACTCCTGCCTTTAGAAACTAGGAGACACCAGCCTTCCTGTTTTCATAAGTTCCTAACCTCTAAAGCACTCTAAGAACCTCCTCACTGTATTTCCCTTCATATAGGGGTGGTGCTGGGTGGCCATCTCAAATTCTGAAGCTTATCATTTGACAGTGGCCCAGGATATCAGATGATGTATTGGCTAGCTATTGTCACAGTAGTGCCGTGTAATAGCTATCACCAATTTGGAACCACATTCTTTCCCACTGATATGTGATCCACTAGGGAGCTCAGCTTCAAGCTAAGGCAGCTGAAGGGCTAGCTGGTGAGATCCAGATTTCTACGAGTAGCTCTATTTCAAGCTGAACATGCTCAGGCTTGATGGGCTACACTGCTCTGTCTCTTATCTGGGACTAGAGCACTATACAGGTAAGAGTGGGAGCACCTCTGCATGTCACGCCCTCACCTAACTGTCCTGAAGCATGGAAGGGAACACAGGCTCTCCTCGAATGTTTCTTCTGTTCCACCAAAGTGATTTTTCTCAGAAGTCACTGCTGGCAAAATTCCCTCTGCTTCTCACCAGCTAGAGCTGAGTCTTGTGTCCCTTTTCTAATGAGTCCCTGGGAGGGAAATGGGATGGGGGAGATGGTAACAATGGGCTTGGCACTCAGGAGGCAAGGCAGGTGAATCTCTATGAATTCAAGGCCAACCTGGTTTAAAAAGTGAGTTCCATGATAGGCTCCAATGCTACACAGAGAAACCCTGTCTTGAAAAACAAACAAACAAACAAACAAAAAGATTCTTCTTTGGCACAGTATTTCTTATAAAAATGAGAAATTCATCTTTAGGTTTGAACATCACTTCTAGGAATGAGCACTAACTACACCCAGGTTAAGAGTAATCCAACAAAAAGAAATAAATAGGGGGAGAGGGGAAAGAAGGACCTATCTTCATGGTTTCTGGCTAACTCAGCTCCTCAAACACAAGTGCACATTTTCCATAATACAGTATGTGCATCACAACTGCAGTCAGTAAATTAAAAGCATTTGCGGTAAGAAATTTCACAATGTTGATAACAGCATGCTGTAATTACTGTTGGTGATTAACTATTACTAATACTTAGGCAGTGCCCACTAAGTGCCAGGCACCTTTCTAATGCCTTAAACACATCAAATCATCATCATTATCTGCTACTTGAGGAGGTAGGAGCAGACAGCTTTTTGATATTCATGCTTTTGTAAAGATTTATTTACGTCTATTTTATGTGTATGGGTGTTTTGTCTGCATGCATGTCTCTGTACCACAATTCCCTCAGAAGCCAGAATCTCCTGGCACTGCAGCTACAGATAGTTGTGAGCCCTCATATGCATGCTGGGACTTGAACCCCAGTCCTCTGGAAGAGCAGCCAGTACTCTTAACTGCAGAGCCATCTTGGCAGCACCATTATATTCATGCTTTTCTATTGTGCCTTCCCACGTTGATCCTAGGCATGGTCCCCGCGATGACAACAGGAAGAATTCTCTTTGGGGGCAAGCTGTTATATAGGTAAGAAGCCCTATCTAAATGCCTGAGCGAAGAGAGTTCAGGAGAGACCAGGGAAGGCAGGGGGTGGGGTGGAGAGGCATATTGGATGTTTTAGTCTCAGTTGAGCTTTCTGCTAAATTAAACATGTTAACAACCATTGTCAAATCTTGATAATAAATTCGCATCCCCAGCTACTGAACTCTAGGGTAGTTTGTTACACAGCAGCGAAACAGAAATAGTTGTTTCAGTACATGTATGCAAATTCCTTAGACAGTTTTTGCGAGACACTTCATTGTTTGTGATCAGTGAGAAAAACTTGAGTGGTAATGATGAACCCATGCATTTCATTCCATCAACAGTTAGAATATTGTTCCTGACTGTGTTCCGCTGGGGCCCCTGCAAGAGGAAATGTGATGCTTTCTAATTTGTAACCAAAGTTCATTCTCCCCGATGCTGCACTGACGAGATTAGTAGCTAAACCCTAAATGTATATCATTTACTGTTGTACAACTTGCTGTGTGTTTTCCTCATCTAAATTTGCTTTGACTGTTTTTGCAATGCCCCAACCAGGGGCCATGGGTAGATTTTAAAGTCAAATTAACCTGGTCTCAAATCCTCTCTTCCTTCTTCACTTCTTTGGACCTCAGTTTCTTTGTGTTTGGATTAACTTTCCTATCTAAAATCACTACACAGTTTACAGGAAGACCACCAGTGCTTGATAATGCTTGTGGCTTTCTTTCTGCCCCATACACTGGGAATCTACAACCAATTCATGACAGTTTTCATCCGAGAGCATGTCATGGGTGCTCTAGTATTTTTGTTGTTGCTGTGATAAAACACTTTGACCAAAAGCAGCTTTGAGGAGGACAGGGTTTGTTTGGATTACACTTCCACATCAGGGAATCAGGGCAGGAACTTGAAGCAGAAACAGTGAAGAAATACTGCTTGCTGGCTCACTGAGGGTCATGTCCAGCTAGCTTTCTTATACAACCCTGGACTATCTGCCCAGGTGCTGCCCATAGTGGTCTGGGACTTCCAGCATCAATTAACAATCAAGGCAATCCCCTACAGACATGTCCACAGGCCAGCATGATCTGGGCAATCCCTCAGCTCCCTTGTCAGGCTGTATCAAGTTAACAGTTAAAGCTAAGTAGGACAATGGACATCTGGTCTGAGCCCCTTCCCACTTTCCAGGACTCAGATGTAGCTCTGCCTCTGCTGGGGCCTCTGCACACGTCCTGAACTTCCTGATCCTTTGCTTTGGAAGACTGAGTTAAGGCCCTCGCCCATACAGCTTTGCCAAAGTTGTCAAGTCTGTTGCCTCAGTTACAATTCCCAGCAGGCCTGTAAGGTGTCCTTTGTCTCATTTTACAGTCAGGATACCCAAGACCCAAAGGCGGCTTATGCAAGGTTAGCAAGGTTACAAAAAAAAATAGTAGACTAGTATGCTTTGCTTTGCAACCTTGGTACTACACCTGTTGTATTACTCCCCCACCCCAGCCCTACCCTGGGTGTAATACTGTCCTACAAAGAAGCTGCTGATATGAAAC